TTGTTTATAACAAGCAGACCTTGCATCTAAATAATATGCTGCTTTTTTGTTGCAAATTTTAGTGCTTCTTTCATGACTAAAACTGTGCCTTGTGGAAATGAGCTTCATAAATTTCTGATTTGGGATACAGCAGGCCAGGAGAGGGTGAGTATAATTCTGCTGTCTTTTAGTTGAAATACAATTCTTCCTTAATGTGCCATGTTGTCTTAAAACAGCAATAAATCAGCTGAAGACATTGGTCGTGTGACAGTTCCCCTGACATCAAAATGTTCCTGGCAGAAATACTGTGCTGAGAGGAGCTTTTCTATGTCTTCCTTCAACCAGGAACCAGGCTTCACTCCTGCATCCCCCTTACCATCTGGGGAAGAGGAACAACAGTGGAACAAAATGCTTGAATGAAAGTTAAGGAAGTCTGGCCACCTAGAGACTGAAGATGGAAGTGGAGATTACAGAAAAAAATTATATAGCTCAATTCATCTCTCCATTACAAAACCAAAATAATCAAGAGTGTCCCATTAGGATCTGTGCCATGCTCTCTGCCATGCCATGCCATACCTGTCTAGGCTTCACAGTTCTGGAGCTGTAGCGCATATGTGTGTGCGCGCGCACACACACATCAATGTTGATTCTCTTTTGTGCATGTTTCCCACTTGTCTATGCAGATATTGCATCAGTGTATGTTCTTCCCAATCCAATAAGTAGCAGCTAAAGTTTAGCTGCTAAATGAAAAAGAGCATGGATGGGTGATTTTATATCGTGGTTTTGTATTGGGGTAAAAGGAAAAAAAAATATTGGGCTGCAGTTTTCAATAGATCACATGGCTTTCTTCTTGGACAAAGGCCCTCTTCTTAAATAGCTTTGTATCATTAAACAAATGTTAAACTCTTTGGTATCTGAGATTATTTACCATGATTCCTGGTCAGTAAATAACCAGGCACAGCATTTTTTATTTTGTTAAGCTGTCCAATCTGCCAACATAGTACTTGGTCAAGTTGCACACTTTGGGACTGTGTTTATTTTTTATTTCATCCCGCCCCAATACTATGACTTAGTGAGGATTTTGCTGTTGTTTTGACAGCATTATCAGTTTAGCACGTTGTTGGTATAAAGGTACATAAATATAGTCAGCCCTCTGATTTTGTGGGGAATCCATTCCGGAACACCCCCCCAAAAAAATGGAGATTTGCAATATTCAAGCTCCATAGGCTTCCCCTCCGTGAATATGCAAAACCACAGACTTCAAGTCTGCAAGAACGGAGGGACGACTGTACATTAAAAGCCCAGTCATAGGAATCTCCTTCTTAAATCTGTTTGATAACCAATGGAAATTAAAGTGGTTTTAAATAATTCATGGTTTGCTGAAGAGCAAGGGCTCTGCTGAAAGCTGTGGTAAAATCCATATTGATTTGTTCTGGCTTTTGATACATAATGTCTAGTAGCAGAGATTTTGTATTCTCATTGTGTAAAATAGCCATGTCTGTTTCTTGATGCATAGGACATATCTTTATTTGAGAAGTCTATGGGCTGTTGTAAATACACAAACCAGATGTTTGTGCCTAGGCAATTAAGGACATGTTGATTCCTAATATTTGAAGTTGTTCACCTCAGTGCATTTGATTTATTGCTATATTTAAAATGTTGCCCTTTTATTCTGTCTTATCTTTTTATGACATTAATAAATCTAACATTTTCATCTGTAATCCAACATATATATTTTATGCATCTTCTGAACGAGGCTATCTCCTTGCTCCTTTGGCTCCTGGATTCTAGCACATTCTTTGGATTCTTCTTCTGTTTATCCTTCTTTGACTCCTGACCTCTTTAAGACTTCCCCTGTGCTTTGACCCTGAACTGCCTTGATCATTGTACTTGTACTTTTGTTTACCTTTCACTGTTGACAACTCCTGGGACCTTGTGTGTGACCCTGGACTGCCTTGACCCTTCATGTCCCTGCACCATAGACTAAAGGGAGGTACATGCTTGGACACTTGCTGACCTAGAGCAGGAGGAGAAGGAGCAGCAGCAGCACTAGGCTTCAAATTAAATGTTCGTTCATCAGTCTTGCCATTTTGTGGGAAAGGGAGTAACTCAGAAGAGTGGTGTTGGCCAAAAAGTATAAAAGGCCTCAGTTGAGCTCCAGCCCCCTTGCAGCACCATCTGGCCTTATTTGCTGCTCTAGTACCTTGCTGACCTATTGGCTCCCACTACTAGCCCTGAGCAATATATTTTGTTCTCATACAGAAGAATAGAAAATTTCAAAAGTTTTCTTGCTACTGTGTGAATTACAAATTTTTAAATTCATTTTAAAATGATTTTTCACATTGCATTTTTTTTTGCAAAAGTGGTTTTGCACAAAATGTTGAGTTTTGCACAAAATATTGAGTTTTGTAGTGTTTTGTTGTTTAAATTATTGCAGCTGCTAATGAAAAAAAGCACTGTTCTTTTTTGTTTAAGGGGGAAGAATCAGCAACAGATTTTATTTATTTATTTATTTATTGGACATGGTAGCTCCCTATGTCAGATACATTTTCTCATCAAGGACAAGAACATCATCAAGGACAAGAACATCCTTTACATTCCAAATTGTTAATTCATAATTGTTCTTTTGACATAAAGCCTGGGTTTCTTTGGAATAAATGAATTGGAAAGGACCTCAAAGGTCACCTAGTTCAGCCTTCTGCCAGGGAAGGAAATCCACAGCTACAAAATCCCTGACAGGTAGCTCTTCAGTGTCTGCTCTACACTGGAAGAGAATTTGCCACAATTTGCTTCACTGTTAGCTTCCTGAGTCCTGAAATACAGGAAAACATATTTGCATTGACAGCTGGGGCTTCAATGTCAATCAGTCAGTGAATCCATTTTAGGGTTTAGCTGCAACTTCTGGTGATTCAGCACATTGGACAGCAACTTTAAAGTACAAGTTTAGTACACAGCAGTTTCACTGCTCCAAAGACATCAGTGCCACCAGCTATAACAAATAATTTCCTCATCATCTTTGCCACAATTCTTCACACATTTGAAGGTTGCCACATTCCTTCTTAATTGTTTGTTCTTCAGCCCAAACCTATCCTTGTTCTTCAACCTTTCTCTATAGGTCTTGGTCTGTGGGCCATTTTTCTTGGTCTGTTTGTGAGATACAAATAAACTCTTGTTTAATTTCTGACTGGCATATCCTCTAAACAAGTGGTTCTCACCTTTTGGTATTCCAGATGTTTGGGACTTCAGCACCCAAAATTCCTGACCATTGGCTGTGCTGACTGGTGCTTGAAGCCCAAAACATCTGGAAGACCAAAGGTTGAGAACCAGAAGCTTTTGTCCTGGGTATAACAAATCACCATGAGTTTCCAATTGTAGCCAAAAGTCTAGATAGGTGAATTTTATTTAGCTCAAGTTTTATTCAGGTCAGCTACAAGGACCCATGAGTTCTTTTCCCCAGTAAATTGAGCAGAGGCAGAATTCTATCATTGAAGTGTTTCTTTTATTGGGGAAATTCACACAGCAAATCACATACACATACACTTTCACACAAGGCTCAGGAAATCAGGTGTTAGCTTGGGATAGTTTCAAGGCAGGACTAACGGTGATACTTACATAAGACGAGACTTGCTTCTGTATCCAATTGGTTGGTGTGGCGTGAGACACAGCTGTTCTGGGGATCGAAGAGGAACGGATGTGCCCGAGCTAGTCAGAGTTCACAGGGCAGAGTGTCCTCATGAAATTCAGACTAACACACTGGTGAGGGGTTTGGGGGGTCTTTTATAGGCACAAGCTAGTCTTTGGACAAAAGTATTTACATATCTATGGGTGAAGTCATGGTCTGTCAGTATTCAAGGTGGGAGTGGGTGCTTGATTAAGCCCATCAGGCTCATTCAGTGAGACATCAATTTGCAACTCCCAAATTATCTGCATGGCCTGTCCTGGGGCATTGTTCCCTTAATGGCATTACCTGTTTGGCCACTTCAGGGTGTGGTGTGGGATGTGTCCCCTCTCTCTGCAGGGTCTGTTTGAGGTCATATGGAAAATTACATTCACACCAACATTTCAAAGTATCTCACTGCTGGTAACACAGTCTTTATTGTTGCTCCTTTTTAAGGACCATGGATTTGGGATTTGGGATAAAAATGCTGTACAGAAAAAGTTTTAATCTTGCCTTCCATATACTATAACGTAAAGCCAAAAGAGCAAAAACTATGCCTGTTGTCCCCCCCAGTGCTTTTAGATTTCTTCAAAGGCATATTGTGGAAGAAATCGTGCTTTTGAATAGCACATGTCTTAATAATGGTTTTTTGTTATCATCCATAGAGTGCCAGGAATTACTGTTTTTTTAATAAAACATCCATTGTGAAGAAGTACAGTATTTAATTAATCTTAAATCAAAGGAGAATTTCTAATGAGAAATCACATGAAATCATATGCATTTACACTGGATTAAATTCCATATGCCCAGCATTCAAAAAAAAAAAAAATTAACTCTGTTCCTTTCATGAGCAGAAATATTTTTGCTTATCTTGGAAACTGGAAGTCTCAGTATTTACGTTTACTCAGATGTCGTAGTTGGAAAAACATTAAATATGTGCAAGAATGTAAAAGCAAAGCTTCCCCACATCTTCTTAACCTTATCTTTTGAGGTACATGTCCTATTTATAAATATAGTTAAATGGGAAAAAAGTCAAATATCTAATTGTATTTGGCTTTTCATTATCTCATGTTCTTTATTATTCTGGGGGAGTTAAGGAAGGAACTGTTCTTCATTTTGTAGTCCATGTCCATGGCAACGTATTATTTTTCACTTAACATAGTATAGAATGTCCTTACAGAACAAAGTTGTTATGAAACTTTATGTGCCTCAGTATATTGTTGTTGATGTATGCCTTCAAGTTGTTTCTGACTTATGGCAACTCTAAGGAGAACCTATCATGGTATTTTCTTGACAAGATTTGTTCAGAGGAGGCCTGCCATTGCTTTCCCCTGAGGCTGAGACTTGCCCAAGGTTGGTTTCATGGCTGAGCAGGGAATCAAACCCTGGTCTCCAGAGTCTTAGTCCAACACTCAAACCACTGAGCCACGCTGGCTCACAATAGTATCTAAACTCACAAAAATGTATTAATTCTTTTTCCTTAGTGAGTTAAGGTCCAAATGAGATAGTCTAAGTGTAATAGAACCATTCAGTCAATATAACGTAGGTGGGTGGTGATTTATTAGTTCCCATTGATTCAGTGGATCTGTTGTTGGGACCAGTAATCGGATCCTTACATATGCTTTTTAACAGAGACAAGATTAATGAGGAAATATGACGCTGAGTAAAAGGGCTGATGCATCTCTTTTTGACCTACTGAATTATAAGACTTTTAAAAATGGCTTTAATTGTTGTCTTATTCTGTTCTTGTATTCAATTTCCCATAGTTTCATTCATTGGCACCAATGTACTACCGTGGCTCAGCAGCAGCTGTCATAGTATACGATATCACCAAACAGGTAAGTTATGTGATTGCCTTGGCTCCATCACTAGTATGTAGCTTACTCAACAATTCCACTTCAACCTGTCATTGCATGAGTATTCTCTGTGTCTTCCACAAGCAATCCTGTTACAGGATTGGTTTTGAAACCTGATTCACCAGTCTGAAAGAATGACAACCAATTTGATTTGGGTCCAAATCAGAATCATGGTTTGGGAAATCCAAAGCTTTTTGACTTTCTACTAACTATCACTGAGGAATCAATTGGCTGTTTTACTTTTAAATAAAGCAAATAAGTAATAAAAATACTTTTTTGGCTTAGTATTTATAGCTAAGATAAAAGTATATAAAATTTCATTAGTCCATGTCAAATTAGTGAAAAAGAGGGAACTAAGTATGGGCAGGATGTTCTCTGCTATTACATACAAATGGAAAGCTATGAATCTTCGAAGCCAAATGGTGTGCTTGAATTTGAATGAGAAATACATCTGATCAAACTATATGATAGTGTAAGTAATAATTAATAGATAAAAGAGCTTGTCTACATTTTAGTTCCTTAATAAATTGTATTACACATTTTTATCTCAGGAGTGTTGGCACAATTAATTGGTGCATTAGTAAGATGTTGTATCACTACTAACTTTCATAAAGGCACAGAAATGTTTAAGAACTGGGAAAAGATATATAAATTCAGTGCCAAAAATGCCAGTTGATTTCAGTTGTCCTATGGAATAAATGCAATTAGATGATTTTAGCCGCTGGACAATTACCTTAAGAGCTCCACAGTTGAGATTATAATGTGTTTTAATTTACTCACTTGAAAATATATGTGTTTTACTTTACTCACTTCAAAATATAGTAAACTGCTACTTATTTTACTCATTCTGCTGTGTGTGGCCTTCACCCTCTTGCTTTCAAGCTTCACACTAACGGTATAAGTACTGTACTCCACAGCAAGGCTAATCCCATGAAAGAAACACATAAAAAAGTGATCCATTGTACAAACAACTCAATTATCTCTTTGTCTACTGTCAGGCTTTAGCATTCATTCCCTCTTTACACACACTGCCACCTGCCACTGATCACTCCCACCTTCTCTAAAAAGTTTACATTCTGTAAATCTAGATAAAGTATACATATCTTATTTGTGGAGCATTTCTTTCAACTCAGGGCCTAAGCAGACTGCCAGAAATAGTGCACATTAAATTGAGGCACTGCCCTGGCTCAGTGCTAGGGAATCATGGGAACTGTAATTTATTGTGGCACCAGAGCTCTCTGACAGAGAAGGCTCAATGTCTCAGAAAAAAATGCAATTCCCATGATTCCCTAGCACTGAGCCAGGGCAGTGCCTCAATTTAATGTGCACTATTTCTGGCAGTCTGCTTAGGCCTTTAGTTTGGCAACTCTTAAAAAACCCAGTACAGATGCTGTAAAGTTCATGAAGTACATGCGTTCCTGGGCATTCCTTTTTTTATCAGAAAATTTGGTACCAGAGGCAGAAATAACATGGAAAGAATAGTAATGTATTCCTACACCACAAAAATGAAGAGCACGTCAACATGTTTCAGCAAACCTTTTATCCAAAATTATAAAAATGCATGTGTCTAATGAAAAAGCCAGGTTAGAAAAGCCCTTTATAAGGAAACAAAAACATGTTGAGCCTTGTAAAGACTACTTGAAGGCTTCTTCTAAAATCCATTCAGGAATGATTTTTTTTCACCAGCTTCTACTTATCTTATGGTTTCCATTTTGGTGGACAAACATCTGGATCTGTGCTTTATTAACATCTGGGAGGAGCTGATGAGGCAGGCTTATCTGTCTTCCACTTTTCTATTTGCTGTTCAGTCTGTACAGTGAGGGATTCTGGAGCCAGTTGTTATTTTCCTTCCCTGTTGTAGGCAGGTACACAAAGCTAGAGCAGCTAGAGCTGAATCGCATACTACCCTAGCTCAAGCTTTTTGCATTATTTACTGCAGATGTGCTGTGGCAAGCTGACATCAAACTCTTTCTTTCTCCAGTCCTTCTGGATCATCTTCCCACTGCTGAGTTGCTTAAAAAAATACAGTTAAATAGATGAAAAGAAAACGGCACAGTGGGTGGGAGTAAAAAGACTTTGTAAAAAGGAGCAGCTTTGTTAGAGGTTTTGCTAACAGGTATGCCTGTAGTCTAGTTTTCCCCTTTTGCAGATGTTAATTAATCTTAGCTAAGGATAAGCAACTGGCTTGCATTTATAAGCATGACCTGCAAGTACATGGAGTACTTTCTTTACACATTTTGCACACACCTGAATAATATGCATGCAGGTACATCCAGAGCACACATCTACATATAGTTGTGTCACAATAGACCAGCCTACAGTAAGTCAGCTGTCAGTGATCCTACACCTATGGAAAGAATGCTGCTGTCACACAGTAGTAGTCCATTCTCAGTAGCTGTATGGAGTTTCCCCTGGATGGCGTTGCATCCATATTTTATCTGCTGTTTCTGCAGGGAGATTGAGAAGTGTATTAAGAGTATATTTGGTAGTGGGGGAAACCTATGAAAAGATCTGTTTTTAAATAACATACACATTGTTATTTGCTTTTGACATAAATAACATAAGCATTTACTAAGATCTTTGCTGTTGCCTCATGTGTTTCATTTAGGATTCATTTCATACACTGAAGAAATGGGTAAAAGAATTAAAAGAACATGGACCTGAAAACATTGTAATGGCCATCGCTGGAAATAAATGTGATCTTTCTGATATTAGGTACAGTATTCAAATAGTTTGTTCTCCCCTACTTTCTCTCATAATAGAGTAAAAAGAGAAGAGTCACCTACATTGCTGTGTGGTCTATATTTTTTCACTGTATTGACATAGAATTATAGAATTGAACAGAATAAAATCAGAGTTGGAAGAGACCACAAGGGCCATCCACTCCAACCCACAGCCATGCAGGAATACATCATCAAAGCAACCACGACAGATGGCCGTCCAACCTCTATTTAAAGACCTCCAAAGAAGGAGACTCTACCACTCTCTGAGGCAGTGTGTTCCACTGTCGAACAGCCCTTACTGTCAGGAAGTTCTCCTTAATGTTTAGGTCAGACCAAGTCAATAAAGCAACATATCTTGACCATCAATGCCTGATATAAAATTGTGTTTCTTAGCATTAAATGATAGGTCTTCTAAAATCTCACTTCATTGTAATCTACTTGACAAGATGAAGCATCCAGACTCACAAGTGTTAGAACAATGCTGTTTTTCCCCCCTCTGCTCTTGCTCTTTTCTCCCTTCTCATCTGCTCTTTTTCTTTTTCACTCTGCTTACTTTCCTGCTCTCAGCCTTACCAAGCAGCAGAACCTGATCTTTTCCTTTCAAACTTATTTGAGGAGTTTGTGGACCATGCAGAAGGAAGCATGGCACAGAGTTAACAGAGGGCCCATGGGGAAAACAACTGTCCCATATCAGACTTCAACTTCCTTCTTTGCTCTTTGTACATGTCTGCCACCTAGTAACTCAAAGTGAGACAATTTTTAAATAACTAAAAGCAATGCATTTTAAAAATAAAATAACCCCAAAGTGTACACTCATGATAATGAGGGTGAATATTTTTTGGAATTAGTAGGCTTTATTTATCAAACAATTTCCCCATGAGTCCTCTTCTCTCACCCCTCTCT